GTTTTTTTTCAAATATCTGGTATTCCTGATCTTTCATTCTTATTCACAATTGAGCTCCATGATGATTAATTTAAATAACTGGCTTATTTCTGCTCTACTTGGATGTTATAAATAATAAATGCACAGTTAAAACGTAATATTTAAGAGTGTTAACCTTGTTAGAAATAAACCCAGTTTAATAAAATATTTTAGTTTTGATTATAATGTGCCTGTAATAATGACTATTTATAGGACTTACAGACTTATCTATACAGAAATCATTAATATTTGGTTGTTCCAGAATTGAATTATTAATAAAATCTTATAAATACACATACACATTTTGAAGTTTTACCTAAGTGTTGTATTTTTTAGTTAAAAATGCTTCATAAATATTTAGTTGAAACTGTTTTAGGGTAACTAACTTATATTTTTAATGTTAAGACACTAACTATAATAATAAAAGCATTATATGCTCCTTAGACTGGATGTCCTTCCAGACTACCTTCTGGACAAAGCTGCAGGGGCCAAGGCAGAGGTGGCCAAGGGCCAAGCCCCTTGCATAGATTACGTGCATTGGACCTCTAGTTTTATATATAAAAGAGAATCCAATTTGTCATAGGTGTCTATATTGAGTGACTTTAACTTATTGATACCTTACGTGTACAGAGATTTTTTCAAAGACTGGTATAAAGTATATGTAGTTGGTATGGACATTATTAAAATACTTGCATGACTTTACTATTTTTACAAAATACATTATGGGGAAATCATGTATTATTGGCAAGAGAGATTATTTTTCCTTTTTAAAAAACTCATAGACTGATTGGCTGCCTCATACTGGTGAAAAATTTTCATTTAAAAGATGCCAAGATCTTTTTCCATGATCTCACATTGCTACCCATTCATTTTTCACACAGAGCCTGATTCATGCAGGGGATCAGCCAGGTTGAAGCTGGATTGATCTCATCACAGTGAAGCCATTCCACTTCTGTCTGTCTTCCTTACACATTTGCTCCATGCATGCTTCAAATCTGGAAAAAAACATACTTATGGGCTAGAGAAACAAAGAAGCAGCAATTTCCTTGCCTTATTCCTTGGACGGGGATGAAGTAGAGAGCACGATGTGGTGATTGGAGCCAGACCTAACCCTGGCCGTGGGCATTGCAGCCGACCCAAACCTAATTAAGAAAGATCCTGAATAAACTTGGGTCAGAGCCAAAATCACTAGCTCCTTCAATCAATATTTTTGATATAAAAATTAGCATCTGGGCTGAATAAAAGGGAACACTGTTTCATGCCACAGCAAAAAAAAAAAAAAAAAAAAAAAAAAAAAAAAATTCCCTCTTGCTTCTACTCTGACCTCCTGATGTTGGATATTTTATTGATTTGTATCTGTGATAACTTTTCAGAGCAGTTGGCTGGCAACCCTCAGATTGTAGCTTCTTATTTGAAGGGATGCAATGAGAATGCATACAAGTTCTTTGGTTGATCTCTTCCCACCCACCCACATTCTCCCTTAAACCTTAACTGTCAAAGGCATCAAACTTTTCAAAATGGGTAAGCTGGTTTCACGTATTTTTTTATTCCTGCTTGAATTGCCTTTGCTAATCTATAAAGTTAGCTAAAATAACTTTTCTAAGAAATTGGCTTTGGTAAAGGAGAGGACATTATCAGAAAAAAGCAATAATCTGTCAGAGCCTTGGAAGTCCTCTTTATACTCTGCAATCCCATGAGAACATTAACACTGTTGCCTTCCAACATGAGTCCCTTATTAATCACTCCAAGAGTGTCCAGAAGGTAGTGAGTGTCAGAGTACTTAAGACAGTGTCTGGCACAAGATAAGTGTCCAAAAATAATTTACTTGTTATTTTTTAAAGACACCACATACATACTTTAGAAAGAATTCTTAGTCTTGATCCATAAAATTTATATGCAGGGTATAAGATAAAGAAAAGATTAACATCTGACTCTTTTTGAATGCCTTTGTTATCCTGAAGACTTATTTTGTAATGAAGTGGAAACCAATTAAAGAACAAGTTAAGACATCTCTACCTTTTAGATAGACTCAGTGCAATATCTACTGATGGAATCTTATTATATATCTGGGACTTGCTTCCAAGTTATTTGGTGGAAATGGGAGTGAAATGGGTGGGGGAAGTAGATAAAAAGAACTGGCTATGGATTGATAATATTTGAAGCTGGTTATAGGTGCATGGTGGCTCATTATACTATTCTCTATGTTACTGTATGTTTAAAAATTTCCATTATAAAACCATTTTTAAGTAGATAGACTAGAAATATTTTTTAAACAGTTGGACTGCTGTCAGCTCAAAGCGGAATTCCTTTACAAGAATTGCCCTCGGCTGAATAGTCTTGCCTAAAGTGGTTTCCTTCCCCACACCTAGCTTGCATCCTGTTACTAGTTGATGGTGGGGAAGAGAAGTTGGCTGGCACACATAAAGCTCCTGGCTCTCTCATTTTGCAATTTCACAATTATTCTAAACAACCAAGCCAGTTGCATTGCTCCCATGGAATTATCTAAGGCCTTTGTTATAGCATCATAATTTGATTTCTTATTTTTCCAATCCTGTTCACTCTCTCCAACCTAGATATTGTCCCATTGTATGTGGTCTCAGTGGTGTGCTGGTAAATGTTTAACAGCTGGCTCTTCAGATCCTTAATTAGTAATGTTTGCCAATTTCCATGGTGTAAATATTGGCAGCATGGCCAATTTTAAGCTACCAAAGTGATGTCATTGAATTCAAAACTGGAAAGAGATGAGTACAATTGGTTCTTGTGACAAAATGCAAGCTAGCACCAGCCACTCTTGCCAATTTTCCTCAATGAAATTCTTAATGCAAATTTCTACCTCAATCTGTTTTTTTAGAACCCACTAAATTAACATAAACCACCAATTATTTTTGTATAATCAATTTTGATATTTTGTTTATTAAATAAACTAACATTTCACAAACAGAATGAAATGAAATTGATCACCTCAGAGGTTTCAGTGAAACACACACACACACACACACACACACACACACACACAACACTGTAAGACAACATTCCACAAAAATTGCTTAGAAACATTTAAAATATAGATGCCTTTTAATTTCCTAAACAATACACAGCTGCAAAGGGCCTGAGAAAACAGACTTCAAATATGTTGTTCTTACTGAGACCAGTAAAATTGACAAGAAATCACTAGATAAGCTCAAAATACAATTGTTAACATTGCTGTAAATAAAAGATATATTTAAGAGTTAAGATTTTATCATCAGAGTTTTAGGTCAGAGCAACCCATTTCTATTTGTTGTCTCTGAAGAAAAAATAGGGAGGAGCATTGCATATTTGAAGAGCTGTTAGATTCACCCTATTCAAGAGCTGTTGTTGGAATAAATAAATAAAGGTTGAAGGTTTTTTAAAGGGGTAGAAGAAAAATAAAAAAAAAACAAGATACCACATTCAATGGAACAAAGTGATGAAAGGAAATGAACATTTTGTAGGAAAGGATACAGAGAAGCATTCAAGAAGGAATAATTTATTCAAATGAATATTCAAGTGAATATTTTTCAATATTAGATTCCTTGTTGTAGGAAATGAAGATACCTGGAAAATAAGAGTGAAATATCCAATTGAGTAGGAAAAGTTGGAATAATTGACTTTACTTTAGTAGTATAAATACTCTTAATTATAAACAAAGAGTCAGAACAAAGCTTCTGTTACGTTATTAGAGCCTACTGGTCTATCAAAACAAAAGCTACAATAATTATTCTCAAATTATGACATGGATTAGAATCCCTTGGGAAGGCTGATGACAATGTAGATTACTATCTCTCACTATTCTGATTCAGTAGAATGCTGGGACTCCAGGATCTGCATTTTATCAAGCTTTTAAGTAAATTCTGAAACCTGCAGTTCTCAGATCAAAACTTGCTAAAGTGCATTCCAGCCAAACATTCATGATACTGAAGTCCCATGATAAGATTAGACATGTGTCCATGTCATTTCATTATGCAAATAATCTTTCTTACAAATATCTGTCTGGATCCTGTATTTTGTGCTTCTCTGAAGATCATTTTTAGGACAACACCTTCCATCTATCTATCAACGAATCAGATTTTCATCTTTCTACCTTTCATCTCTCTACTCTCATTTGCTCTGTAAGGGAAAAGTAAATGTGTGTGTGAGTGTGTGTGTGTGTGTGTGTGTATGTATGTAAATGAGAAAGTTGGAGATACATAAATAACATTATAGTTCTTTTAGAAATTCTCTTTCCCTCAAAATCAACCAAAGAGACATTTTTGGCTCTGCTAAACTTATGGAAACTCAGTAATCCCTACTGAATTAAAATCATGGTCTTATTAACCTAGCAGCAGAAGAAAATCTCTCAATATTCACAATCGCCCTCTTAACCAATCTCATTATATATATATATATATATATATATATATATATATATATATATACACTCTTATATTACCAGACCAGTGGGACCTGGATCCCTCCTAATGTGCTAATGTGCTGCTTGGGAAGCATTCCACTTGACTTACAGTTGCTCTTATAAGTGTATATTCAACCTAGACCCTGACAGAGATAGGCCTTTTATCTTGTACATGAGAAAGTAATAAATTGCCCCAGAACTCTTGGATCTTGATGAAGAGAGAGTAATCTCCTCCTGCCTCCCATGCCAACTGGCTAAGTAATTAGTTTCCTATCATAAGTTGACTCAAGAGCCTCCATGCAAGTAATTATGAGAGTAATTCCTGCTCAAGGAGACACCCCTCTGGAGGCTTAAAACTCAAAGGGTGGGTGTTAGATCACAGGCACCCAGAATGGGAGGGGATGTTTATTGCTTGCTACACCTTAGGGAGGTCCAGACATGCTGCCACCCTCTTTGTCTCCTGCTTCTTTTACAGGACTGAGGACATTTATGCATTTTGGAAAATTAACTAGGATCAATTTCATTTAAATGCACATTTTTAAAAGAAAAGACCTACGTGTCTTTTTTTCCCTCGCTGTACATTTACTCAACATCTATTTTCCTTGCACAAGTAATGCTTTACTGGCTCATGGAGAAGAACTGAAATTTAGTTATCAAATTCAGTCATTAGATGGGGCAACAGCATTTCATAACCTGCTTTCTCTCCTCCTAACTTAATTATACATAAAAATTGTTCATGAGGAATATTATACTACTTAAAAATATTCGTGATCCACTTTTAAATTGTTGTACCTACTAGGGGTTATAATTTCCTAAAAGTTTCCATGCAGATCTCCTTTCTCCTTTAACAGGTTTTGAACATCAGGTCATGTTGCTCCCTCCAACACCAGTGCTTGGGGTTGAGTTTCTATCTCAGTGCACAGCATGAAAGCTTGGGTCCATGTGTGTCACACAAAGTCAAGCCTCTCTTGAAGTGATTTGTTTATAGTGTCATTTGATGGAGTGGAATGTTCTGTAACTCATTCAAACTATTACAGAAGCTTTGCTAAAAGGTCACCACTGCTCTTTAGAGTTTCCAAATCTGTGCACCATCTGGGAGCTTGTTAAAGATAAGGTTTTCCACTGGCTTTTTCCATACCAACTAGATCCAATTAGCGAAGGGGTGCTATTCCAGAAAAGTTTGTGTTCAGAGACACACAGTGAGAGAAGGAAAGGAAGGGAGGGAGGGAGAGAGAGAGAGAGAGAGAGAGAGAGAGAGAGAGAGAGAGAGAGAGAGAGAGAGAGAGAGAAAGAGAGAGAAAGAGAGAGAATGTAAATTAAAGTTAGTTGCCAATAGCACACAAGTTCACTTTGCACCAAATTGAAGTGCATTTGGCAGATGACAGCACTATTTAATGTTAATAGGCCTAATTGGTGTGTGTGTGTGTGTGTCAGTCTTGAAAAAGTTGAATATTTGGTTTTAGATATTTTTAAACCAATTCTTCAAGTATAGTCATAGCAGTCAACTCTCAAGAAAATGGAATCTCACTATTAACTCAAAATTCAATAGGATAATGTCAACCCATTCCTTAAAGTTACAGAGATTACACATGCTAAACATTCACTCTACATGGCACCAAAAATGTTCAAATGCTTCTAACTTCATGGTTTTAGTTTAGGCCTAAAATTGGCTTGTGCTTGCTGTCTACCATCTTTCCTTATGAAACACACATCTCGAATTTTCCAAACCTTAAAAGCTCAGCTGTAAAACTGTAGGAGACCAGCAAGAGGAAAAGGAAAGTTTCCTTCAAAGACGTCTCTAGATGCTGCTGGCCAGTTCTGCTCTCTCCCTCAAAACGCTAACGATGGCTTTTGACACTTGTCCTTGGAGAAAGTCCAAATGTGGCAAATGGTAGAAGCAACATTTCTTTACCTTCCTTCCTGAAATTTCCTGTGATACAGGAGTTCTAGCTGGTGCTTTCATGTGAGAACAAGGAGGTCTGCTACTGACTACCATCTTGACCCATCCAGAGATGGAATAAGTAAACACACAGTAGGATCTATGGAATTAAAAATCAAAACCCACTCCTTTGGTTGGAATTCCTGAAAGGGTCTGGACTAAAGAGGCTGCACAGTAGCAGCTAAAGCACAGGCTTATTGCCATTACAAACATTATAAGAAATATGTGTGTGTATGTGTGTGTGTGTGTGTGTGTGTGTGTGTGTGTGTGTGTGTAGTAGGTTACTTGGGAGAAGAGAAACATAAATCTGAAACCGTATTTTTGTCTCTACAGTCCTGAGATGGAGACATTAAGAATACAATAACGTCTCCCTCAGTTCAACTAAGGTGGTTTGAAAACCAAATTGTCCTTAGAAAGGGAGAGAAATGCACTTATATTCTTTTTGAGGCAAAGATAAAATTTTTCTGGCAAAGTCTTTAGGTGCCATTCAGGACCTGGAAACTTAATCATCGAGTTCAAAGCTTGTTTCATCATAGAGTTCAGGGCGTGCTGACTTCTTGTTCCGGGAATATTTCAGGTTCAGGAGATCACCCATCTCATCTAGGGCTTCCAACACCTGTAAAGAGATCGCCTTCCATTAGTCATCTTTGAACCTCCGAGTGGCTCTGCTCTCCAGTGCTTCACAGAGAGCTACACGCTTCTTTTCCCAGCTTCTCTGATTTTAGAGAAATGAAGAAAAATCCAAGTCCTTAAGGTATGGTGTATAAGGCATCCCTAGAGGAATGTTAGGTGCTAATTCACTTTATCTCATATTCTATCTAACTCCACATGAGGAGCGTTTCACTTATTTTGGTGGTATGAAGAAAAGAATAAAAGTATCTGACCCAGGCTACCCTTTAGCTTTATTTTAAAGTTTAATGATTTATAGGTAAACTTGTGGAAAAAAAAGATAAAGTTTCCACCTTCACGTTCCTGCAATCACCTAAATTTCCTTTCCAAGATGAACTGATTCTATCTAGTATTATCATTATTTGCTTATTTTTTAGTGTCTCCTCTCCGACTTTTTACTTCAGGATTTTTCACATAGTAGACACTCAATAGTTTGCCAAATTGCATTGACGTTATAAGAATGTTCCTTCAACTCCAAACTGACTGAGATGGCTTAGTTCTCTGATATTCTTCATCCACATAAAGATTTAAATCAAAGGACCATGAAATGTGATTTTAAAATCATTAACACTTCCTGCAAATGGCTATCTTTGTTATTAGTTTTCCAAGATGTTGCCTAGTTGGGTTATATGTTATTATGATGAATTTGGTGGCTATGAAAAATGTTGTGATGCGGGCAGATGATGCTGAAAAAACATGTTAGATTAGCTTTTGCATTTAGAATTAGAGTAAATAGCACAACATTTGGCTACTCAGTCAGTCTTTTCTATAAAAACCAAAACACTTACTTGACTCAAGTCTTCACTAAACTGATTTCTTTTTCTGTATACTGAGTTGATCACATTGGTGGACAGTGTTGTTTTTAGCAGTGAGTGTTATTAATGTTATTTTCCTAAATCTGCCAAGAGAGACCCAGGGAACTCTAAGCTAGTTCAATAAAAGAACTTGCTCAGAATCCAAGGTACCGGTACTGGACATCCCATGGCCTGTGCTATACTCACCGTGTCTAACATCTCTCGGGTATGTGCTGCTGAAACGCAGAACCGTGCCCTGGCTTCCGCTAAGGGAGTAGCTGGAAATCCAACGACCACTACCCCAATCTTTCTTTTTAGCAAGTGCCTTGCAAAGGCCCTAAAGAAAAGACAAAAAGGGAAGTTTACTGGGAGAAGACAACATTGTACTGTATAAAAAAGAGGGAATATGACTAATTGACTTTTTCTTAAAAAACAAACAATTAATAGGAAATGATTGAAGGTATTAAGCATCAGCCAAACACAATTCGCAAAGAAATGGTTCAGTCACTTAATGGCACCAGAGTGTGTATATTATGGATCCTGGCACACTCATTGAATAATCTTGAGTGCTGAGTCTCTGACATTAAGCAAAAATGCTGATGGACGTGACCTTGATTTAACAAGTCTGCACTGATGTTAAATCTTTTGTCTGTAGGAATCCTAGGAATAAAAACTAAACAGCTAACACAGTGCAATTACATAAAGAACAAATATACATGATATTGTACCCCCCACCAAAAAATGCATACACGTGTAACAGCTGATAGCTCAATTTTGAAAAATGAAATGTATTTTAATAAACATTGCCTTTATAATTATTCAAAGTGTTATGTATGCATTTTTGGGACACTTTATATTAAATGAATACCTATATGTTTTAAAAACATAATGTCAATGATATATTATGAACATTTCAAGAAACCTTTACTTAATCACTGTAATTTGAAGGCCAAAGTCAGAAGGTCTGCAAGAGCCAACCTCAAGCCATATTCTCACCCCAGAGCCAAATATTTTATTTTCAATTAAACCAGGAAATAGCAAGGGTCTCCTCATTTCTTTATGTGTGAAAGAAGAGTCCAGGGAGACTAAATTCATTAACTGGTTAAAAGGGAAGTGGGAAGGGAGGGAGACAGGGAAAGAAATGTACATGCATAGGGAGGCTTGCTGGTTATAGGACAATAGTCTCACAACTGCAAAGCTTCCTGATGCAGGGCAAAACCTCTTAAATTTTTTATTCTTTCCCCTTTACTGCTTCTCATCTCTTTCTTTTCCAGAGTTAATCTCAGTAACAATTCTAGAATATCAGGCTGTCATAGACTGTACATTTTTTGTGTCAGAGCCAAGGTCAGACAAAAAGATATGCCCCAGGTGAATCTATCCTCTTACTGAGTGAGGTAAATGCCTAATTCTGTTCTTAGCATTAAGAGGTTGCTGGTCTCTTATTCTGTGACAGCATCACAGAAACCTTCCAGTTATAACTCAGGAAAAATTCTTGAACCAGGCTGAGAGCAAGCCTGCTCATTTAGTCACTCCTCTCGCCCTTGGGCTGTCTGCCTTTTGGTTGCCTCATGCACGTTATCAAATGAAGTGATGGAGATTATAAGACCTACCAGACACACAGCCTCTCTGGCTCCCTGGCTGGGATCAGGCAAGATCCGCCCTTTGATTGGGCCTGGGAAGGCTACAAGGAGATGAAGCTTTGTAACTGAGAAAGCTTGCAAACAGAGGCTGTTCTTTCTGCTTCTTGATCACCCTATGGAAGGCTGCCCATGGAACTACACAGGATGAGAGCTTGTAATTGTCTGAGAATCAAGTCAAGTGCTTTTATTGCTGGAGTACAAACCACCTGACCCATGATCTCAGGCCAGTTGTCCGGACTCCCTAAGGAGCATTTTCACTGTCTGTGAATTTCTCTTTGTATCAGAGGAAGTGAGTTTTGCCAAAGAATGCAAAGCAAACTCTATGACTGTTGATTCATTAAGGTTAATCCGAGGCCTCCCTGGAGCACTTTTGAGCTTAAATCTTACACTTCTAAACTCCACCTCTTTCAGGCAATGCATATAATTGTGCTGAACATTTTCTATAATGAGCCTCTGTGTTTGTACTCCCCAAAGGAAATGAGAGCTGGCGTAGGCTTAAAGAAATGAAATTATGTAATAATAATAATAATAATAATAAGCATTAGCATGTGTTGCCTGCAGCATCAGGGCAGCTTGTGTCCCATCATCTTCCACCTGTGTGACAAGGGCCATAAAAGGAAAATGTAAGCCCTGTACCAAATAGTAAATACTATAGATTCTTGATTACTTAAATGCATGTTTTATAAGTGCAATCACAGTCTATTGAACTTCTTAGTAGATTTCAGTGGTAGAGTTGCAAGCGGACTCTTTTCAAAAGTTCCTCTTGGCTAGAGATTATATTTTCATTCTGCAGTTTTTAAATGAAATCAAAGATTTTAAAATGAGCTAATGAAAGAAGTGCTAATACACTGGCTTATACCCTACAATTAACTCCCAGTCTCATAATCTACATATAAACTCTTGATTGAAGAAACAGAGAGATAGAAATCAGGCCAGGCAGGAGGACAAGCTCTTGCTAGCAATTCCTGCTAACAATATGACCTTTTGTAACTAACCTGTTCTAAGTTTTCTTAGACAACCCAAACAAGTTGACTTTTGATTTCCATTGTAACGATTGATGTCTTTGGATTCTCCAAAGATGGCATTAAAGAGGGTTGAACTTATACCCCAAATTGCTTTAGTGAGATGTGCATTTTCCTCTGTGTACTAAAGCTTGAGAGGCTGTGCTATGCACGAAAAGAGCTCTGGTGAAGGAGGCCAATGGAACTGGTTTTGCATTCTATGCTTTACTACCTACAATCTGAGTGGTCCTTAGAAAGCAGCCGACTTTTGTGAGTCTTGGTGTCCTCATTTGTAAACCAGGGCTGAGTGTCCTCCCCTCAATGGATGACCACTGGGTCTAAGAGCCTTAGGAGCACATAATTGGCATTCAGCAACATTAGCTCCTCATTGAAAACCATCTTAAGTTGGAAGACACTAGAGGGTTTGACATATCCTCCAGGTTTAAGATAGCATAATTGATGCAGAGTATCACAGTATCTTTACCTACTATTTCCCCCAGGAGTTCTACTTTTATTAATGTAACTAAAGACTGCAATAATTATTTTGGAGAGACATGCAACCATGGTAACTCAATCTTGCATTCAGCTAAAACTAGTAATAATCATCATTGTAGCAAAATTAGAAGTAGTAATAGTAATAATAATAGTTACCACGAACTGAGTGCTTACAGTACACTAAACACCATATTAAGTGCTTTATACATATTATTAATACTATTCTTTATAATGAGAGGAATATGCTAATTACCCATTGGGCCCTGAGGCGTAATGACTGACCTCAGAATGACTGGATCACAGATCTGCAGGAGGGTAGGCAGCAAAACTACAAGCGGGCTGCAGAGAGCTACAGGAGGGTGGCAGAGAGCTACTGGCACATGGATTCGTGCACAGGGCTACTAGTTAATAATAATAGTTAACACTGAGTAGCTTCTAGATAAGAGGCAATGCCAAATGCCAACAGACCTCATCTTGTTTAACCTTCACAATAGCCTTATGAAATAGGTACTATTATAGCTCATTTCAAAAATGAAAAAGCTGTGGTTTCAAAAGGTTGGGTAACTTGTCCAAGATTTCCCTAGTTAGGAAGAGGCAGAGTCAAAATTCTTTTTCATTCCAAATATCTCACTACACCATAGAGCATAACTTTTACTAACTTCCTCTTAGTTCTATTTTTAATTCCACATTTACTATGTCCAGTCAGGACTCCTGGCATATAAAAGAGCAGACACTTTCTTTCTGTTATTGTAGAGCTGAGTTCTTGAATTTAAATGCATTTGCTTTTACTCTTCATGGACTCTTCTCATTGGATTGAGTCATTTCCTAACCTGTTGAGATTTTAATTATGGCTTTTATTGTCAAAGTTGGAACTCTCCAGCACACCCTCTACTGCCACCTTCCAGGGTTGTGCACATCACACTCTCAAAAATAAAGTAAGTTGATATTAGGTGTCTTTATTTGAGTTAATGATAAAATATTAGATTGACATGAACTCAATATAAAGTCTTTCTTTCAGAAGTCATCATTTCCCCAATTACTCTGAATAAAGGTAGGTTTTCTTTTGTGCCTTCTAAAGTCAGAGGGTAAAGGGCTTTGGATGATCTGCTACTTTGAATCACCATTGCCACCCCTCCCTGCCATTAGCACAGAGCAGTACCCTGTGTGACCTTTCCATGGTACACTGTCTTCTTGCCCTTCCAGGCAATGCAGTCCTGACCCAGATCTGTGAACAAAAGGCTGAGTGATGGCAAATCTGTGGCACACGAAACAAATCACACATATGTTTTAACTGCTTGGGATTTTACTGTGGTAAAATGACACAAAAGCGTACTCCAAAGAATCTATCTATTAACTAATAGATAGATTAAGGGATCAATGGAAAACAACTCCAAATAAGCAGGAGAGGCATTGAAATTTGGTGTTAAGATCATGAACTTTGGAGCAAGCCTCAGTTTGGATTGACCTCTTGGTTTTACTACTGTCTGACAAGTACGACATTGAGCAAGTTGTTACCTGCTCTCTGCCTCAGTTTCCCCACACTTAAAGCAAGGCTGCCTTCTTCTGAGGATGGCCCCAAGTGTTCAATGGGAGAAAGCACAGGACCTGGTAATGCTGTTTTTAATATTAGGAGAAAGGGTCTGCAGAATTTCTCTTTGACAAAGATCTTAGGGCAGGAGGAGGCTTCATTTACTATGGAGCCTTAGGAGGGATAGGTGATTCCCCTAAATTCACAGAACGTGGAAATGGTGGACCTCAGCCATTGTGAAAAGACCCTGCTGATGGGCCACGTGGCTTCTGAGCAGCTCCACAAGTGAATTCTGAACTTGGAACCTGTCAAAAGTGCATGATCAAGGCTACATTGCTAGAGCTTCAGTGTCAAAAGCACCATCTTAGATCACCTTGGGGTGATTATACATTACTCTGAGAGTCTGTTGGATACTCACGCTACTTTACCAGGCATGTAAAGGAGCAGGGGGACCACGGGAGATTCCTCATTGCCATAGATAATGAATCCCATTTCGTTCAGTCTCTGTCTGAAGTATCTTGTGTTTTTTGCAAGTTGCCGTACTCTCTTTAACCCTGAAAGGAGACAGGCATGAAATCCATCAATTACCACCAGGAAGAGGGAAGCAAAGGTCAGATGGGCTTGGCAAGCATTCCTAAGTCTTTCTGCAGACCTGCAGCATTAGTTGGGAGGAGGTGGAAGTAGGGTGGGAACATATCTCCTGGTAAGTAGGTGTGGGCACTAATGCCTGAGAACTGCCCTGAGCCTGGAAGACAGGATCAAAAGGCGATGGTACTTCCAGGTACTACTAGCAACTAAAGGTAGGCTAGGCTGTAGGATTACAGTGGGGTGCGGTGGCGGGGAAGGTTCTAGCAAGAAGGAATGAGATGAATTATCATTTACTAGGTACCCATTGTGTATGAACTCTGCTGTAACTACTTTAAAAACATTAACTTAAGAAGTCTTTCTCTCTGTCTCTCTCTCTCTCTCTCTCTCTCTCTGTCTCTCTGTCTCTCTGTCTCTCTCTTTCTCTCTCTCTCTCTCTCTCTCTCTCTCTCTCTCTCTCTCTCTCACACACACACACACAACACACACACACACACACGTATTATCATACTAGTTGTTGGTGGGGGCTTTTAAGCCAAGCTGAGCTGATCCATTAAATTTCCCCTCATCTAAGTCTTTAATTAAAGAACATGTCACCCCACCTGAGTTTGAAGGGGTAGCACTTTCCTGGACAAGACAGGTCCAGCTGAAACCAGGATATTTTGTGAAGAATTTGATGGTTGTAGAGTAATAGAGGGAAGAGGGAGACCTCTGCTTTCCCCAAGCAGAAAAAAAACAACAGTGTTAACTCCAAACAGAAGGTCAAGCCAAGGTACATGTGTCCATTTCCAGGTTATTGGTGTTTTTGCTCTGAAGTTTATCCTCTGTCCTCAGCATGTGTCCAGTGGGAAGGTTGCACACAGGAGACAACCATGGAATTAAAGAGCATAAGGAGTTCTGAAGACATTTGTCTACTCCAGTTCTGCCTCTAATCAGGAAAGTCAGTAAATCAACCACAACTAGTCAGTAAATCATCAATAGAAAGGTTAAAAAGGACTGAGTGTTTAACTTCCCCTAAAAATCAGTCCAATGTTCACATTTGATGCAAGGTTACTATTCAGCAGGAATGTGCTGCTACCGCTGACTTCCGTTCAGATGTCCATTCAAACTGATCAGAGTTGTGGCTCTACCAGTTATTCAATATTTTGAACATTTCTCCTGATTGTCTGTAGTTCTCCAGATATAAAATGGGTAAAATGTTTACTAAACATGTCCTCTAATTTCTCCTTAGAGAGATGGCCCTAGATTGTATCTTGGAAATAGGCTAAGCAGTGAACATCTCCTGCTCAGCATTCTTCCTCTAGGGGACCATGATATTCAGGTAGTTCATCCCGCCTTTCCATTTGCTACAAGTGTAGCATGTGATCAAGCCCTGGCCAATAGGAATACTTCATTTTCCTGATTATTGGTTCATGATGGAACACAACCTGGGCCTAGCAGTCTTTCAGATCTACCTAAGTGTAAGGATTAGGTCAGTCTCAAGCTACTTCTCTCACCATATGGAGAAAACCTGCTTGAAAATGCTGCTAACCCAGAAGAAAGCTAAAAATCAAGTCTGCAAGAGGCCTGGTAGCATCATCAAAACTCTAGGGTTCATTCATGCCTAAGTGAGTCCATTCCCTGGACTGGCCCTGTTGTGTGAACCAACACATTTCTTTTTCTTACATAAGTTACTTTAAGCTGAATTTCTAATACCTATCACCAAATGTGTCCTGAGAAATATATTGTAGGTGGCCACTAATTGGATGAGGTTACCTGTAAAGGACAATAACAGTATCAACAACAACAGTAATTGTAGCTCACAAATATATATTATCTCTACTGTTATAAGCACTTGATATTTAATAATTTATTTAGTCCTTTAAAAACTCTGTTGATATCGATGCTATCATCTCATGTTATACATGAAAAAACCAAGTAATTTACCCAAGTTCATACAGTTAGTAGGCAGCAGAATCATAATTTAAACCCAGGCAATTAGGTTCTGGATTCTGTGTTGTTAACCCCTGTATTATGGCACTCTCCCCAAGAGCAGCAATGAATACTGTCCAGCTAGATAATACGATAGTAGCTTTTTCTTTTCCTGAAGCTTAATAACATTTATCTCTGCCAGCTGTTAGGATCATTGTTCTATCATTATTTTTTCAGTAGAGGCAGTTGAAAGGTTGAAGCTCTAGATAGGTTCATGTTGTGTTGGGATGAGGTAGGATATCAAGTGTGGACCCCACCACAGAGAAGGGCTGGCAGATCCCCTTCACTTTGGATCAGGGATCTGAAGGGCTAATCCTGAAAAGTCAGGGTGAGCCAAAAGTAGACGGCGCTCAAATGACATTTTCTTTATCCAAACATATAACATTTTTAAACTAGGTTGTACCACTCCCCAAATACATCAGACTTGCTTTTCAGAATTTTTCTTTGCTCACCAGACCCATATCTATTTGACCTCTGTGACATTAACAATATATGCCGAGTAATGGAGATTTAATTGAGTGCAACACCAACCAAGGAGAATGATGTTGTATATGCCAATTGTTCCTTCTTGTTTTTTGTTATCTTTCACCTACTCCCAGTTCTCAAAGGAGATCCCTTCTCAAGTCTGCCAGCTCTCAGTAAGCATGTTGTTATATAAAAGAAGAAAAAAAAAAAAAAGCTGATCTCCTAGCCCCAGCCCCATCACACTGGCCATGGTTAATGGATGCAAGACATCCTTGATCCAAAGGCAGTACATTTGGATATTGGGCAAGGATCCATAAATTGATCATAGGAACTTTCCCATAGAGATAACAAATATCAATTATACCAATAAAATCCTCTTACACCATATAAAGTGTGAATGTGAAAATTTAGATGGAACCAATAATTGGTAGTAAGACTAGATATTGAGAGACAGAGAGAAAAAAGCTTATCAGAATCTATAAGACAGAGGAAGCCACTGATAAGTAAAAACTATGGTAAACCATGAAGAGAAGTGAACAGGGAAAAGTTAGAAACAGGAAAAAAGAAATAGAAAAAGGGAAGAGCTTATAATCTAGTGGGGAAGAGACAATCAAATCATCATAAATGGATGTAAAATGGCAACTCTGATGAGTCCTGTAAAAAATGCTATCTGATATTATGGGAACCTGTGTCAGATTGTACTAAGTCTGAGGAAGCCAACGAGTAATTAGTGAGCTGAGAGCTGAAGGATGAAAAATGTTAACCTGGCAAAAAACAAACAAACAAACACAAAATAAAACAAAACACCAAACAGAGGAGAGCATTTTAGGCACAGGAAAGAGAACAGGGGCAATGGTCCTACAGTTTATAGAAAAGAGTGGTTGAGAACCAGGCATGATAAGGCTGAAACTCTGGGTAGATCATCTAAAAAAAAGTACAGAGATTGAAAAACTCAACATTAAATGGTTGGGAAGAGAAGGATGAACTTAAAAGGTAGATAAATAGCCATTGAGGAGGGAGAAGATAAATCAAGAGATAAAATAGTGTTCGTTGGCTTTATCAGCATGGCCATATTTGATAACCTTTACTTCCAAGTTCCTGTTTGAGACTTTGGTTTTTAAAAAACAAGTAGTTGCAAGTATGATTTACTTTAATATATGTTTCTATTTTCACACTCACCTTCTCCCTCCCCCCTCCCCACCAAAAAAAATGATAAGCTTTCTTTCCCAAAGTTCCAGATTTGAAACTTTAATTCAAGCAAGGGGTTAAGAGAAGTATAGAAAAATTTGTATAAATTTTATAGACATAATTTCCTTGGTACTTAAAAATTTGTTTTGTGGCATGCTGAGCATCCCTTGGAAACTCATTATGTGTACAGAGAGACACCTATGTGAAGAAAAGAAATTAGAAATGAGAATATTTGTCTTTATATTTAAAAAATGTCATCCATACATCCACTCTGTGTATTAGAACATAAAAAGCAGGGGGAGATTGTGGACAGGAGAGAAAAAGAAAAGAGGGATGGAGTAAGACGTTCTTTAGAGAAGGTGATTGAAATGAAGGCATAGATATACATCCCAGTCACCCAAATGTATTCCATATGGCCTGTCCCTTGGTGCATTCAGCTCTTTTGTTGATCGTTAGTTGCACAATGAATAGATGACTTCATCAGGCTGAGTCTGATGATTCTTAAATGATCCCCTTCAAGACTAGAAGGATTTCCTGCCCTGGAAGTGCATGAATGACTTAAATTGATTTTCCCAATGGCATTATCTTTGCACTTGCCCATAATGATTCATCTATCATGGGGCTGCCCAGCTACTTAATTGGCCCCGTCTGTCCCCTCTGCCTTGATTAACCCAAGTAACTGAATCATCAGCTAATGTCATCACTTTACTGCTTCTAGATCCTTTGGAAAGTTGACCAAACAGATCAGAATATCAGTCCCAGGGGTAGTTGATTCTTAAGAACTGAATGTTTTATCCTTGCCCTGTCTCCTATCTTTGAACCATTTAGCACAGCATGGATTACAAGCCATTATGACACACTTTGTGGTCACCATGTTTTCTCATCTAGGTCACTATAAATGCCTTTGAGGTCTTTTGAGTTAGCCAAGATACAGCTCCTTTCAATTACTCTATTGCTCACTCTTTAAAATTGGAAACATTCTCCTACTCCTGGAGGGCCTGGGGGCAGAGAGGAATTTGTCCATATAAAATGCTACTCATCTAGACAGGATGTGGGTGATTTTATTAATTACATCGTGCTTTGAGATCCTTGCTGGAAGAGTGCTTTGTAAAAGTAGAAGGTACACTTAGCACTTGGGCTTTCCTGCTGGGACCGCCATGCCAGGATGACATGGAGACTGGCCTTTGCAGCCACATTCCCTTCTCAACATGCAAAATCCATCTCTCATTTCTGATCCTTCTTCCATCTATTCCGTAGAAGACAGTGAAGGTCCCTGAGCAGATAAGTAAGTGAATGAGCTGATCTCTTATGTAAGGTTCTGAAGAGTTTATCCAAGAGCTTTATT